CCTCCTCGACAACCGAGTCCCTTTAATTCATTTCCTTTTGGAAAAAAAATCGTTCATACAATAACTATCTTAGGATATTAATTAATTATATACGATGACGATGATAATGAGGGCGGCGATGATAATATATTACACGTTTAATGCTTATATATTTGTATATGATCAAACGATAGTGGCATGCGCTTTTTGGCCAGGGTCGCGCGAACACGGCATCCACGTTATTGATAACTAACGAATTTTTACTTTCTTTTTCGTCATCCTCATTTCCGCGATAAAGGGCAATGACGATTGTTCGCTTTTCATCAACAATCATTGAACATTACTCGTCTAGAATAATTGATGCAATAAAACAGCCCGTTTCCACGTGCACGAGAGATATGTTGTTACTCTTGTTTTTTTTTTCTTTGCTTCTCTGTCGTCTCCATGATTATTTTTTGAATTCACGAGAAAGAAAGTCTGCGGCGACTAGGGTAGGGATACCGATGGGATTTCACCAGAGAGATTCCTGACGTACCGTACGTCTGCACAGGCTTCCTAAGATATTTTGCCAGATTCCGTTTCCTTTTCTTTTTCTTTTTTCTTACCGTTCTTGGAAATTCGCGCAACTCCGGCGAAACAGCGAGCCGTGCAAAATACACACACGGCACGTACTCGAGAGATAATTTTGACGCAGCACGGGAGATTAGACGGTCAATGCAAGATCGTGATAAACACAATCAGGAGGTGGGTGACGTAAGGAAGTAAGGAAAGCTGCTTCCTGGACTCATCGATTCTAATTATTCTCGTACACCTACACCACGTATACGTATCCCAGTACGTGCAGTACACGAGACACACACAAGCGCTAAATGTTAAAAATATTATTTTAGATATATTAAGACGATAGCAATTACCACGTGAGTGTACTAATGACGATGAAATACAACAAAATAGCATCAATACATTAACAATAATGATTCGTATATATATTATATATTGATATATATATATATATGAAATTAATTATATATTAATTATGTACCTATAGCGTATAGCCGTTAAAAACAACATTGACATGTCGCATGTAAAACTGGGTTCGCACCTGACTCGCGGTTTACGGAGAACTCAGGAGAAAAAGGAAAAAAAAGTACAAGATGGGGAAAAATGGAAGTAAAATGTGAAAATCTAAAAATCCTCCCCTTTTATCAAGGTCAGAGCGACTCGTGCGTTGATGCCACTTCGTGTCGTCCATGACTCCCAAGAGACCCAACCTAACTTAACGTGACCTACACTCGGGCTATTCGAATTTATGCGTCACTTATTCGAAAGTCAGCAGCGTAAAATATGTTAACCCGGCGTCGCTGCCGTTGATAATACGATTGATTGGATTATTTGTTCCTGCTGGCACCGCTTAGTGCGCTGTATGTCATCTGTTACGAGGGTGCCGATTAGCTTGAGCAGCAAATGTTGGCATCGATGGAGTCATTTGCTCCAGTAGGATTTTCTACGACTGAAGTGTAGATGATTATTGGGGGCAAGGCAGGCGTGAGGCGGGTACAGTCGCTGTATTTATTTGACAAGGAGGTTGATCGACAAATTACAAGATTATAGAAATAAATCAGTATTAGCGACGGTGATGGCATATCAGTTTAAACGAGCCAAATTATATTGGAGGATGAGCAGCTGCGCCTTTCCTGACAGCCGCGAGTCAGCTGCGTTTTCCACACCTGTATAAGTTTAAGAATTGATTTTTGTAAAGAGGTAGTAAGTGTATATATATATATATACACGAATATACATATGTGTGTATACATATATATATATTGAAATAATTAACTTAGCTTAAAAGCCACGTGAGATGTGAAGATATATACGTCCTTTGGTAAAAGTCCAGGCTGGAAGAAATAAGAATATTGAGAGAGAGCGAGTGTAATTGGAGTGAAAAGAGAGGAGAAAGATGAGAAGAGAAAGCAGAAAATAATAAGGGATTGAAGAGATACGAAGAAAAAAGATAACGAAATGGGTGTGCGTAAGAAAAAAAGAATAAGATAAATAAGGATAATTGAACTAGACTTTATTTTTACAGTTTTTTCGGTGTCTCGAATTCCCCCTCGAATAATCTCATCTCTAATAGGGAAATCTGTCCGAATTCACATACTTCCTTTGGCGGTTCACACTCTCTGCTAGATAGAGAAAATCTTTAATTTCTCCGAATCTTTTTTGAATCTTGAAACTTATTCTTCACCGTAATGAAGTCCTGCCACTTTATTATTATAAGTCACAACTCCTTTTCACGATAACTACCCGTTTTCGATTCCGCTGATTGAACAAAATTGCACGATCGCTATTCGCTTCTATTGTTATTGATACGAAGTTGCACGAATTGCACGTAAACAACAGAAAGATGACGAAAGACACAGAGACAAATGATGATTCACTAAAAATAACAATATTGTTTAAGTCTGTTAGAAATTTTGAGCGAGGCCGTTAGAGTTTGTGCGATTGCAAAGAGTATCGTTGGATATTTAAAATGTTAAATGAAACTCCTGGCAATTTAATACCAATTCATGCAGCCTCCTCGCTCGAAAAGAACGTTATTGATTCCTAACAATCTTGTGACGGCACAATATTACTAATTGATATTAGGACTCGGACAATGAGAATATAGTCGCGTAGTATTATTATTATTGGAATAATAACAGTAACAATCAGAATTTATTGAATTTCTCTTATCGCAATATGACCTCATAGTAGCGCTCTACGTACGTCCATGAATACGTATAGGCATTTTTGTCCGGGTCCCGGTGAAAGCGTAATCAGCGTGTATTCAGATACTTATTTTTTAGCTTCGCAATAATAGGGACCTACGAAGAGAGAAATAAAAAATTCAAGTAAAATGGTACCGTCGCAACGCTCTGGTCTTATAAAGTCTGATAATTCATCATCCAATCCTTTCGATGATGATCATTCAATGAGGCGAATCGGGACTCTTGTTGAATCGCCATGGAATTATGTCTTTATCATTTGGACTGACACGAGTTATCAGACATTCCTAAGGCTCCCATTTGTAATAACCTAATAACGTTCCCACGACGATTGCTTTGCCTGGGCATTTGTAAAACTCTGCTGCTAAGAATCATTCGATGATTTACATATATAAATTCGTGGGCGAGTCTTCGGTTTGCACTACATTCTTAACGCATTAACACCCCATGTCAAAGAACTATTGTGTTTGTGGATATATGTAATTTTACTTATCAATAAATAAATCGTAAAAATATGCGAAGAATATTTACGACTTTTTCCTTATTTTAGTTTCCTTTTTATCCTTTGCAGCTTTAATTAATTGATACTTATGGAAGAAAGCGTTCTTTAGGTCCATAGAACATAAGGCTAGAGTATTGATTATTGAGATTCCTGTTTGAGCTTTTTTATTAAATTTCTCCTGTTCTTACGCATTTCCGCAGTGTCAGATTTAATAAGAACGTAATAAAATGAATGCTAATGTTACGAGCCATTGGATGCTATTAGCAGAAAGTAGTAGGGAGATTGCCAATGAGCCGTTCTTCATGGTCCAAGTTTTATTTCGGCGTCGACGCGCCGAACCTTATTATTCAATTTTTGTGCAACTGATTTTTTCCTTCTTCTCGCGTTTCCCATCTCCCATCTTCTTCTCCCATCTCTGTCTCCGCTATTACATTAGAGCTCAGCCTTTTAAAGTTGTGGCTCTATTACTCTTTAACTCTTTCTGGGTAAGATGGCATGATTAAACGCACGATCAATCAATGAGCAAAGAGTGACTGAAAATGATCCAACAATGTTTTCTTTACACGTAAGTGTTGGCGTCTGTAAGTCGCCTTCGGTCGTCTTGTAATCGATTACCAATCGCATGAGCGGTTCGCTGACAGAATAAAATGGTGGTCAGGATGATCGTGAGGCAAACGTCAAACACAAATTAAAGTTTATCAATCTTGATAATTCTGCGTATCTTAGAGTTATTTCGTTCAAGTTTAACCAGGAAATGTGTTAGATTGTTTCTCTGAGAATGACATGTTGCGGTGATGATATAAATATTATCTAACCTCAACCTGTGACGAATATTAATTCAACTCGGGATCACAAAGATTTTCAAATACAAAATTTCTATATGATATATTTTTCTATGTAATCTAATGTAATTTCATGAAGCCTTGAACTCTTAGCCAAAGTTCATGCTGATGCAAAATTCTTGGATGACCGTGTGTAACCACAGACTATCAGTGTATATATGATCGTTTTGTGATAATGTAGAATAACATATAGTAAGCATATTCTAATAATTCCATCCTGTTTATCACGTTCATTAAATTGTGCAAACCTACGAGATTAACGGCATTCTTTAAGTGTTATATTTCAATTCATTCAAATGTCGTTTGAGGATGATTTCGAGAGACCTTTTGAAGAGTTTGAGCCTCCACAGTGGGGTGCATTGCGTGAACTGTGTCATGCAAATGCAGAATACTTTTTATCGCATCAAGATGAAAGTGGACTCAGGATAAGAGCAGCTTTGTTGGCTGTGTTGGACCACTTGGAACAACTTCGTCCTATTTATAAAGCAATCAAGAAAATTGCACCTTTATTTGATTTCGATTCGCAAACGCCAGGGAATGGTTACAGAAGTTTTTTGGTTCTGGTTGATAGATGCATTCTGCATGCAGGCTCTGTCTGTCGACAGATTTATTCTCAAAGAGGCTCCATATTATTTAGAAAAACTCATCATATGAGGTAAGTCACAATTATTCCAATTTTGATTTTGAATGGTTCTTAAAAGAATAACTTTTACTACTCAGGGAGATAGAGACATGCTCCCAACTATTAGCTTCATTGTGCACATGTTTACAACATCTGAAGACTCTTTATTCTTGGAGCGAGCCAATGGAAAATGATAGACCGTCTCTATTTCCTTCAGATGATCATAGTCCTCAGGAGTTATTGAATCAAGCAGAAAATATTAATCAGTATTGCTTTTATGGACGATGTCTGGGATTTCAGGTAATTAAAAACTTGTCAAAATAAATATTTCTATGATACTGTTCCTATATGAATACAATGTTCCTCAGTTCTGTGATAGTATGAAACGAATTTTAAAAACAATATCAGTTTGTATGGCATCATTTAGCGAAGCGTATTATTCGAATGGAACGATATTAGGAAGATGCGCCAATTCAGTTAAATATATATTAGATCCTGAGGCGAGAGCTCGCCGTATAGTAAATATATCTCAACGCGCGGATATATCCTTTTGCCAGGCCTTCTGGCTATTGAATGAATCGGGTAAGCATCAACAAAAAACAAAATTATTTGTAATGTTACCAAAAAAGTTTACTTTGATTCCTAGAGATTGCTCAGATTTTGCCAACGATGGTGATGCCGTCCTTGGCAATAAATCAAGTTATCTCAATCCCTCCAGAAGAATTGAAACTCCCCACAGAGAATGGGTCTCTAGTGTCAATTCCAATTCCTAGCAGCCACATAGGCAAGAAGCCTATACATGTGAGATTGCTCAGTGCTAAACGCAGAGTAGGAATGGTAAGATTATCTTAATTATGTCTTCTTAAAATTTGGAAACAAACATTTGGCAAATCATCAACAGGTAGGATCTGGTGTAGTGAGTGGCGAATTATTAGGAACTTGTGACAGTCTGATAATCCATTGTCACGGTGGTGGTTTCGTGGCACAGAGTTCACGATCGCACGAGGTCTACTTACGTAGTTGGGCTATTAGCCTAGGAGTTCCTATCCTGAGTATTGACTACAGTTTAGCACCAGAGGCTCCTTACCCTCGAGCTTTGGAAGAAGTAGTGTATGCCTACGCCTGGGCTTTGAAGCATTCCACTACATTGCTAGGAAGTACTGCTGACAAAGTTATCTTCATTGGTATGTATAACAGATTAAAAAATATCTATAGTAGCAGTATTATGTTCATTTTTACCGTCATCACTATAACAGGGGATTCTGCTGGAGCGAATTTAAATTTGGCCACTACACTAAGATGTTTTGAATTGAACATAAGGAGACCGGATGGAATTTTTATGGCTTATACGCCAGTTTTAGTTGAGTTTATTCCATCTCCAGCGCGTCTACTGTGTCTTACTGATCCTTTGCTACCTTTTGGATTTATGATGAGATGTCTAAAGGCATATACTGCGGGAGACAATAAAAAGAATCAAAGGTGAGATTGAAGTAACTACTGATAATTTATTTTTTCTTAATTAAAATGTTTTCTATGACAATTAGAGACAAGGAAAATGAAATCGGTGAGGCTGGAAAATCTGATACCGAATCTTTTGCCGAAGTCAGTGAAAGCGACTTGATCGCTTTGGCTTTGAGTCCGAACGGAGATGAGACTAACGAGGAACACAAGTTAGCTTCACTTCCTTCAGATTCCACATTGAATTCTGTTAGTTTAGCCGATATCGACGGTACGCAAGCAGTTCCTGATAAGCCTCAGGGTGAAGCCAAGTCTCAGGAGTATATTCGGAAATTCCTGGAGATGTACAGGAACAGTGGCTTTGGGAATTCAAGTACTATGGCTAATGGAAGTAGTACTAAGGAGTCCGATTACACTAATGGCGACAAGACATGGTCCTTTTTTGGTTGGGGTCTTGGTAAAACCAATAAAGAGAGCAGGGAACTCGACATAGAGGATAGCAAAAGTCCCTCTGATGAATTTGTATTTAGCGTGCCACGGGATCCATTGTTAAGCCCTTATCTTGCACCTTCGCACATCCTACAACGTCTCCCACCTATTAAAATATTAGTGAGTATCTTCAGTAGGCGACATCTTATGTACGAATGAATAATCTTATATGATTTTAAAGAGCATGGAATTGGATCCCTGTTTGGATGACTGTGTCATGTTCGCGAGAAAATTAAAATCTCTTGGAAATCAAGTGACTCTTGACATTCTGCCGGGTTTGCCGCATGGATTTTTAAATTTGTCTATGGTAAATCTCTGCGGTTCTCCTTCTTATGCTTCATCTTTATCCATTGCTTATATTATTTTTTTTTCGTAGATATCCAAAGAAGCGAGCGACGGTTCTAAGCTTTGTATTAAAAGAATACAAGAGTTATTGGATTCTTAAATAGAAGTCGAATGAGACTCAAGAGGTATAATAAGTAATGAAGATTTTCTGAATTTCCTTGTATGAATACAATCGAATTCTCGTTATATGCATAGCCTGAATATCGACAAATATGCGTTTCTTCTGAGAACTACGAGTAAGTATGTTATTGTTGTTGACTGCTCGGTGAAAATTTCGCATCACGAATAATGCTTGCCGTGTACCGATGCGTTCTTAATTATAGCATATATTAAGTATCAAAGTGAGCCAAAATATTATTTATTTGTATAATCTTAAGTCAATCAGCAGTGACTTTTTGATAATTCGACAGTAATCTGTCAAGCACTTCTAGAAATTCTTTATCTGTCCTATACGATTTTTTCTACTATTCAAATAATTTGATAAAAATCTATAAGGATTTTGGAAGTCCATGAAAATATTTATTTAATAACAATAAGTTCATTTTTGTATATTGTTATTCTTTACAGTTTTAAATCTCGTAACTTTTTGATACAGTCTGATTTTGTAGTTTTTTGCGAAAATCGCATTGTAAATTAGTTTCTAAAAAATGTATAAGTACTGTTAGTGTCATGCTTATCATACTTGCAACTCTTATTTGGGATTTAGCTGTAAGTTTTTTTCGGTAGTTCATATGCTGCAGACAAACGACCGATAGGAATTGTCTGGTATCCATGATAATTTTTCGAACGAGCTAGAGTCTATTATGTATCGAGAGTTAATGAAGTATTGCGATTATTCCACTGAATGTACATACACACAGCAAAATTAATCCAGCAATAGCGATAAGGCATTATTGCAAACAAATGAAGAAGAGTTCTAACTTACAGTTGCATTGCACAAATTGATGGATTATTTTTAATTGTTGTGCATTGTTATCCTATACATAAAATATAATTGTTTTGCAGCTAATGGTTTTGGTTTTTCTTCCTTCTCCTTCAAATGATTTATATAACACCGGAATAATAAGAGTATACTTTTATTGACAGTTTGTACAGCAGATAACAGAATACAGTGAGAGAATACACTAGAGATGAGAACAAATATAATGATAGATGAAATTATTCACTGACTGTTCGCCTGATGTTTGCATTTCTTGGTGGGCGAAGTGTCTTCTGCAAAACATGTGCATCAGCTGGCTCAATTCTCTTGTAATAATGCTCCTTTGTCTCAACGATCTCAAAGCCAAATTTCTTATAGAAGTCTATTGCCCCTTCATTATTTACTTGAACATGACTGCATAAAATAATAAAAGTGTCAGTCAATGATTAAAACTATAATTATTTAACGATTAGACTACTCACAGGAATATAGAGTCGAAGTTGCCATCCTTATTAACATAGTTTAAAACATGCTGTACCATAACAGTCCCTATTCCTAATCTTCTGTATGGATACAAACAACCCAGAGTCATTATATATAAGCGTCGAGAATTCTCTGATGTATCGACGCGGCAACAAACTGCTCCAACCTAAATGACCCAAATACAGTTGATTAGAATAGACACTGAGTGTGGCAAGCAATATAATTTAGAGCAAAGAGTTTATCTTAATACCACAATGTCATTGTAATATGCCAACTTAGCAAGTTCTCCAGCTTCCAACACATCCTTATAAAACTTTTCATTGTAGGATACTGGGAAAACAACTTGGTTCAGAAGCTTAAGCTGTTTTATGTTGTGAGGTGTTACATCTCCAAGTTCTATCTTTGACCTGCCAAACAAAGTATAAATTGATAGCAGTTTAATTGAAGATTTATAGATTTATGAAAGATTCATTTTAGTCCAGTGAAATTAGCACCTTGAACTACTTGTGTGAAGTAATCAGTTAAAATTAGGTTCATGAAAATTGAGACTGTCACATGGAATAGACAAATAATACTTATATCAGGAAAATAGTATGCCGTTTAATATATTTAAAGGAAAATTACACGAAAAACATTCTAAAGCATAACGTCTAACCTAAACCGCCATGAAACTCACCGTGTCATTTTGGTCGGAACCAGGGGGAGGGGTGTCAACTGTTATAGAAAATCGTCGGCACTGGAGTAGTTCGCTAGTCGAGAAAACTGGTATAAAGAACAGTTAGAGGCGCTGCAATCAGTTAGAGGGGCGATTGTAATCCAGGGGTTGTCGTCGCGGACTTCGACCGAAAGGATAGAGTTTGCGTCCAGCTCTTGGTTGGATTCACCAATAGCATCATCCAAAAAGAAATAAATAATAAATCGCTGGGTATCCTTGCTCTCTCGTTTTCTCGTGGAATTTTCGTCTGCATTCGGTAGTTGCAGATATCGAATAAAAATCAGCAGAACTTTTGATTGTGATTTTGTTTTGGTACAAAGAACGTTAAAAAAATTTGATAGTGAGTAAATAACAAATGCGTTTTTGTATCATCTTAAACTCTGTATGCAACTGACAAGTGAATTGAAACAGCGAGATACCTATTGGTAAAGAGAGCCAACCCCTCACATACCCCCGCGTATTCTGGGTGCGAAACGAACTGTGTGGCGTTTCACTTGATTTCATGCCTCTATAACTTGTATCTCCTCGGTGATTAAAATGAAGATCTATCGATAGATTATCCGAGTTTTCAATTGTCGACAAACAGTCTGAAACAGTGGAGCTCCCGGATGGCAGCGTGACGCAGTCATGAACACGTCAGTGAGTGCCAGTGAGCAAGCCTGTTCTGCGTTCTGCCTGCGCGCGTCTAGTATCGCCATCTTATGCACCACATGACCTCGTTGTCGTGTCCCGTGACCAGCTCACGTGAATTTTGACAAATTCAAACGTTTTTTGGTGGCAAAAAATGGACATTTTGGAGCAGCACCTCGAGCAACCAGATGTCAGGTACTCACTATAGATAATGGATTACGATGTGTACTGCGATACGTCATCCTTACCATTAGATCCGAGGTCCCGTCAAGGTCATTTAATAGTGCACAGTACGCACTTACGTATAATTCGCCGATAATGCCCTTTGCCTTATGGATTTCCATAAACATTAAAGGTTCAACAGAATGATCAAGAATGACGGATGATACTTATTTTCAGTGGAGTTTCCGCCAAGGTCGAGAACGGTGCTGGTATTGTCATCGAGGAGGCCGAAATTGTTGATTGTGATGGTAAGACTGCTCCTTTCAGAATTTATTTCTGTCACTTTTATACTTTTCTCCTAGTACATTCGTAATAGATAATTCAGACGATAACACTTCAGAAATTAAGATGAGATTTCCTTAGCTTTATTGCCTGTATCTTAATGCATATTTATCAGATTCATTCTTGAAATTGTCATTGCATTGATTATCCTAATTAGACTGCTTCGTGTATTACTAATGATATTCTTGTGCTAAGCTTTGTTGCATCTATTCATTAGGTGAAGCTGTTGGAGAAGATGGTATGCGTTATCAAGAAACTCTAGCATACAGAGTGGTACAAGTGAATGGTACTACTGCTGGTAACGAAATAGAATTACCAGTTGCTCAACAAGCAAACAATACTGTGCAAGTCCTAACGTCTCCTATCAATGGTCAATTCTATGTGATTGGTAATGCAAATGACGTCTTTACAACTGCTCAAACATCCAGATCACTAACTCCTAGAGGAACTACACTTCAGATTGAAACACCACGCTGCACTACAACTGGATTAAAGAAGGTTATTCTCTTTATTAAAATCAAATATTAATATGACTTCTGTGCAAAAGTATACCAACGACCTAATTATATCTTCCAGAGAGATGAAAGGAGAAGAGCTACACATAACGAGGTAGAACGTCGTCGTCGTGATAAAATCAATAATTGGATAGCAAAACTAGGAAAAATAATTCCTGAATGTAATTCCACAACTTCAAATTCTAATGGCAATGGAAGTAGCGGTGGTGAAGGAAAAGCAAACTATGAAACTCAGGTACTATAAATCTATTCACATACACAGTCATAATGCAAAATGAGGTTAAATATCATCCTCTGTCTATTTTTTAACAGAGTAAAGGTGGTATCCTGGCAAAAGCTTGTGAATACATTGGCGAACTGCGTACGGCGAATCAAGGTTTGGGCCAGTGTTTAAGGGATAATGAAAAATTACGCCAGGAGATAAACGCTCTAAAGCAGCTGATCGGTCAGCTGAAACGTGAAAATGTCCTCTTGAGATCACAAGTATCAAATGGCACTACAAGTTCAGACGCAATACATCTGAGTCCTTAATTAGATAATTAGTGGTTGCTGTACATAAAGGACAGACACATACCATTAGTGTTATTTTCATGCACTGAATTTTCTAAGGAGATATCTTTTCAATTATGGAAAACAGAAAAAATTCGGCACTATGATGTCCAAGAGATATCCTTTGATACGAATTACCGTGCTAGAAGTAATACGTAGTGGAAATTGTTGGATTTAGATGATGGTGAGCCCAGGCTGTGAATATCTCTGAATACCTGTTCGTATTTTCCACGAATCTGCAAATTGAGCCGATCCAGCAGTCAGTGATAATTCTTGCAAAAGAATTCGTTACTCAAAGATCCAATCGAAACCGTGCAGTGCAACGGACGTGTGTGTAACTAGGAGGTAGTGCAAGGTCTGTTCCCCCAGTTCTGAACTTGGCGACAAAAACCTTGTAAATTCGTTGAACATTTTTTATTTTTAATACCGTTTTGACAACTTGTAAAATATATGTAGTATGAGCTAGGACTGAGAATGTAAAATAGATTATTATAAATGAATCATATATATATATATATACATATGTATATAAAAATACATATAGCAATAACATATTTTTTGCATGTACAATTCTTCGATTGAGATATCAGTTGGAGCCTGAATCTAACAAAAAGGCTATCATTAAATTGTAATATATCGTTGTTGTACATACCGCGGGGTTATTGTTATATTATTATTAAAATGAGATTATAAAAACCAAACACAAAAGGAAATAAGAAATGTGTTCTGACTTGAAACATTTACTTTGATCCCTCGTATTGCAAGAGATTGAACTCAATGATTGAGGAATTAAATAAAGTAAAGCCATGGGATTTCATGGTTTTTGTGCATAATTTTTATTTTTTACATATCGTACACTGGAAATGATACTGAAGCTGCTGGAACGTTGGACATAATCAAGTTTTGGTTTTGCATAATGAAGACCCAGCACCCCAATTTTAGCCTAGTTCTCTTAATGTCTCTACACTTTAGCCTTTTTTGTTAACGTCTTAACGTTAACATGTATCATTATTTAACGCCTATGTTTTACTTCTATTACGTTTATATAATATTAATATGGTACAATAACTAATACTCCATGATTCAATAGTGATTTCCTGTCCTGAGAAAGCTGTCGTTCCATTTGACGTTTTGTTAAACACCAAGGCCATGTGTTCTTTTTTCATTTAATTAATTACAATTAATTAATATCGTCCATCGACGTTCAAATGGAGGAGAGCTTTCCACGTGACAAACATCTGTATTGTACATAGATAGAGACCTTACTACATTTCTTTTCCATTAGCGCGAACACTAGTTTTTTTAATTTTTATTATCAATTCCTGCCAGCAAGATCGCTGGTAGAGCACACGATCAATGGGGTAGCAGCATGTGCGCGATTACAGTAAATACTGGCCCCTGGTGGATGACGCTAATGCAAAAGAAAATAGTAAAAGGGTCATCCACGTTTTCATTTAGTTTAAAATATAGGAATAGTTTACAATAGTTGGAAACACATTTTCGAATAAAATTTCCTCACGCGTTTAGGGGCGTCCCACTTTTATTGTCTCGATCGGAGTGTACTCTTAGCACTCTAAACTGAAATTCAATCGCGTTGGAATAAAAGGATATACGGTTCTTTCTATTGTACGCAGAGGAGGGATGGACGAAGGCGTCGAGACGTCTTCTGTTAAGATCTCAGATGACAATTCTGTCGACTATTTTTTATATACAATCTCTGGGCTTTTCGAGGTAGCTACCTCAATTCAAATAATCTAATACTGCGTTACGTTTGATTGCAACCACATTGCAGATTTCAACGTTACTTCTATATTACTTTCAATATTTTTCTTTTTCAATGGCAGCTCGGTGAGGGGAGTGAACGCCATGAGGTCGTCCTTTGTTTCATTAACTTTTTCGCAATTATTGCGTTACTCTTTTGGAAATAACAGGAATATCGCGCTGAACCGGTGAGACAAAATGTTTCACCGATAGGACGTCGCGAATTAGTGATAGTAGATAATTAGTGACTCTTCCATGAACCTGCAACGTTCATATAGAATTGGAACATCCCTAAACGACGGTGACCCCGAAGAATCAATTAACAAAGGTAGTTTTAATGAGTGAAATGGGAAATTAATCTTCCAGGTTTCTAAAGGCCTGCTGGATGTCTTCGTGAAGCTGATCGAAGTCGGACCTGATCTTGGCTTCGCCGTCCTTAACAGGATCCTACGTAATTAAACACAATCATTATATTCCATTATATAGATACAAGAAATTTAGAGAACAGTTAGTAGAGAAAATTGATTTTTTTTTCTTAAAAACTGTGGATTACCTTGAATTTCATGGAACTGAGCTGGTAGAGGATGTTGCCCATGCTATCGCGGATGACGTTCCAGGTAATTTTATTATCGGATTGCGCTGTCGATTCTACTGCGTGCCTGGCCATGTCGTAGAAGGCAATTATGTTGCGCAACATGCCGACGGTCTTGTAGAAGGGACAGAAGCGATCGTAGGGAGAGTAGCTGAGAAGGAATATACAGGTTATGAGAAATTTGGCTAATTCTATATTCCGGTTGGAGACAGATAGGAGAATTACCTGTTCTGTTGCAAGAAGTCATCCTTGAGGAGTTTGGCGACCTCAAGAGTAATCTTATCGGTTTCAGCAAGGGATGCCTTACCGACCAGCTGTACGATTTCCGACAGATCCTCTTCCTCCTGGAGGATCTCCTTTACCTTCGTACGCAGAGGTACGAATTCCGGGAAGTTCTTGTCGTAGAAGTCGTCCAGGGCGCGCATGTACTTACTGTAGGAGATGAGCCAGTTGATGGATGGAAAGTGCTTACGTTGGGCAAGTTTCTTATCCAAACCCCAGAACACCTAATCCAAAATACGCTTTATGGTAAAATCTTCTGAAATTATTACGTGCGGTTTATTTTCCTCCTTTGTCTTGATCACGTACCTGTACGATACCGAGGGTAGCACTGGTGACAGGATCGGAGAAATCACCACCAGGAGGTGACACAGCACCTACAATACTGACGGAACCTTCACGGTCTGGGTTACCCAGGCATTGGACTCTGTAAAAGAGTAAAAGCAAAATTTAGAAGGTCCTAATAAAAAATTGGCATCGAAAGTGTCCCTGAACTGAAAGCAGAATAGATATGTACCTTCCAGCACGCTCGTAGAAACTGGCAAGACGTGCACCAAGATATGCGGGATAACCAGAATCGGCAGGCATCTCGGCGAGACGACCGGAAATTTCACGAAGAGCCTCAGCCCAACGGGAAGTGGAGTCAGCCATCATAGATACATTGTAACCCATGTCCCTGAAATACTCGGACAGAGTAATACCTGAGTAATAAAAGTAGATATGAATATTTGACAGATTGTAAATCGTAATGAGGTTTTATCTTGCGTTTGAATACGCACCAGTGTAAATGGAAGCTTCACGAGCGGCGACAGGCATGTTGGATGTATTGGCTACCAAAGCAGTACGCTTCATGATGGATTCTGTTACGCCGTCAATCTCAACGGACAACTCAGGGAAGTCACGCAATACTTCAGACATCTCGTTACCACGTTCTCCGCAACCGACGTAGACGATGACATCAGAGTTGGAGTACTTGGACAAGGCCTGTGAGATGACTGTTTTGCCACAACCAAAGGCACCGGGAATAGCGGTGGTTCCACCTTGGACACAGCTGCAAACACGGAAACAGAAAATAATGTATATTATCTGCGGTAATATTGACTTGAGGAGACTTACGGGAAGAGAGAGTCAAGAACTCGCTGTCCAGTGAGCAGAGGATGATTGGCAGGCAACTTTTCCGTAACTGGACGAGGCTGACGTACAGGCCATACTTGAAGCATAGTGAATTTGCTTCTCTCACCATCGAATTCAGTTTCCAGCACTATATCCTATGCAGATGTACAAGGAAACGATAAGAATCAGATACATCGAAATATTCAAATTATAAGACCTTTGAAGCTTACATCTACAGTGTAGTTTCCTGCTGGTGCAATATAAGTTACGGTACCCTTGCTCTTTGGTGGTAACATCATCTTGTGCTTGACCAGGGTGTTTTCATGGACAATACCATATATATCACCACCAGTAATGTGACTACCCTTCTTAATATTCAAGGGATTAAATTCCCACTTGATAACGCGAGAAAGAGCAGGAACGTTTACACCCTTAGGGATGTAAATGGAACTGGTAAGCTCATTGATGTCCTTTAGGGGACGTTGAATACCGTCGAAGATGCTGCCAAGAATACCAGGACCCAACTCTACGGAAAGTGGCTTTCCGGTTCTGAGCACAGGATCACCCACAGTCACACCGCTGGTCTCCTCATATACCTGAATGGTGGCCATGTCACCCTCCAGACGAATGATTTCTCCTACCAGTTCATAATAACCAACACGAACCAACTCGTACATAGCAGATCCAGACATTTTTTCTGCTGTTACGACTATATAGGGGAAAAGAATAAAATGGTGTCGTAAATAATGATTAACATAAGATCTAGAATTGGTATAAACGTTACTATGTTACTGGAAACTGAGTAATTATTTAAAAAACACTTACCAGGTCCGGATACTGCATATACGTATCCATACTTTGATTCCTTCTCTTCATTTTCAATTTTAGACAGACCACGGCTCGCCATCTTGAATTATCTTTAAACTGTAATAAGTGAAGTATTTGAGTAATTGTACACAGAAGTGTTATGCAAGAAGGTGGGACTAAAGTGACCCAAATGATTATAAGCAGAAATACTACAAAATAATTGAGTACAGATATTACTGTAGAGTAATCTCTTTTGGTGCAGTGATACTTTTGTAAACTGGAGCAATTACTAATTACATGTAACATAAGAATTACACCTCCTCCAAGGTATACAATAATTTTCCAGAAATCATTAATGGTAATGATAATTACATAAAATTCAATAGCAAATAAACGTTTCAATTATCCAATTATCAGGTGCAGTGAGTATTGTCTTTGTAGACTTGGAGTAAAAAAAAACATTGAAATCAAATGACACTGAGAAAATCACAAAACAGTGAGTTTAATATTTACAAAAATGAAAAAAGGGTTCCATTAAATTGAGAAAAGTTTGTCAAAATTATGAATCTAATTTCAACAGTTGTTAGATACCCTGACCACTCCCATCGTCTATTATAATAAGTTTTCATATTAAAAAAATTAAAACTTCCAACATAACATCACATATAGTGTATTAGCAACAAACTATTATATAGTTCAATATCAATAATTCAGTAATGGAAGTCAAATTAAGAGAACGAATGAAAGAAGAGAAGGAGACGCGGAATTAGCGAATCTAGGATTCACGTGAGCGGGCAGCTCGTTCGAAATCTTAAAAGTAGGCGTAGCCCTCGACAGTCTTGGAGCCGTCTGCTACTAGCAGAAAGCATGAAATTCAAAGAGAAAACGATTAGAAGGCATTAGGGGAAAATCTACGAGTATTATTAATAATATTATTACAACAATAAGTAGTATTAATTTGTGAGAGGACCTCGAGTATGCAATGATTTTATCCCGCAAGGCAAAGGTGATGGCGCACGCAAAGTGGCACGATCGATACTGTGCGCCTGCACTTTCCGCAATTTTTACGAGGCCTACAATTCTCTTTTCTCAATAATATAATTACAATCAAGTAGGCCTAGGGTATAAGCGCAATGATTTTCAATGATCACTGGAAAAACTCTCGGATAAACACTGGAAAACTTACGGAGACGTGCGACGGACTGAAGTGCACCCACCCAATAACGAGTCGAGCCTGGCTGCTTGCTATCACAAGACAGGTCAGCTGACTGCACCTGATTGCTGGTTTTCAAGAAGCGTCAACTGCGTTTGCGTCAAAAATGGATGCTCAGCGACAATCGTTGAAACGTCGCGCCATCTGCGTCCCGTACTTCTATCTTCGGTAATACGTCTCTTTATACCCAAAAGAAACGAAATTAGAGTATCTTGAGATATTGCAGTCCTTGTCGGAAGGGGAAGACGTTTGTGTTTAAAAATTCTTATTCCATGTACTATCGACTTTTCTTGAGGTTCAAGAAATCAGAGAAATGCTACTTTGCGGAATATATAATTTACTGAAAAAACAGTTAAATGTTTTTCCTATCTTTATTATCCTATAAATTTTTACAAAATCATTATTGTGTATTTATATATTTATAATATATATATTTTAATATATATATATATATATATATATATATATTACGGCACTTTGAATCAGGATACATCAAAGATATTGCCACATTCCTTGATTTCACATAAACCTAGAACAGCAGGCGAATATATTTTATTGCAAGATCTAAATAAGATTCTACGCTACGTTCTTACATGTAAAGATACACTTAGAGTGGAGTTTAATCGTGATTATGAATATTGTCTTTAACGGCTAATGTGTAACGATGAGTTATTTTTTTTAGCAACACTTATAATTCCGATTTGACGCTATATTGACCGTTCCAACATAGAGAGACCGGTTCGCAATTCGCATCACTTAAATTGCGCTTTTGAGGTTCTTGCTTGGGTACCAAAAGTATCGAACCGCCAGCCTCCATCTTTAAGACGTTTTTGCGTAAATTGTTCATATCCACTGTTCGATATTCACCGTTAGCTTCGTCGTCACTTGGTGGTTCCTCTTTTGGTGTAGCCAGTACAGTCTGACCTGGTCCTTCATCGGGGACATCTCTTCGTATATTTTCAATACCATGTTCTTCGTGAACGTGCAAAATGAGACGAGAGAGAGCATAAAATATTTTACTACATAGCTCGCATTGGAAGCTCTTTCTATCGATAGCTTCTAGACAGTGTACATAGTATCCATGGGGATAATATGTCATTGTGTGCATTATCAAGTGCTTCTCGTGATCAACAGTCAGAACAAATTCGTAGAGACATATGGGACATTTCAGGAAGTGTTTCATGCTAGTTGTATGAGCTTTCAGTCGTTGTATGCTGTCAAATGTCTTCCCACAAATAGGACACTTCAAGCACTTATGATTCTCCAGAGTCTCTTTTGTCTCAAATATTCCTGAGCACTCGTTGCACTGGTATGTTTTTCGTTTGTTGCATGTATGATTGAACGAATGCTTCTTGAGTTGAGGTAACAGGTCAAAGACGAGCTTACAGAGGCCACATACAAATCTGCCTCGACGATCCCGTTTAATTTTAAAGCTTACTGAAGAAACTGCCCAGTGCTTTTGGAAGCTGTTCATTCGAGTGAGACTGGTATTACACTTCTCGCATTGATTTTGATGCGAGCCCAAATGTACAAGTAAATTGTTGGAATCGTCGCTTGAGTATTCACAGAACATGCAGACAAAATTATCTGCATCCTTATAGACATGTGAAAAGAAATGCCTTTGAAATGAGCTCGATACAAAGAAGATGGCTGAGCATGCAGGACACTTTAAATAAGGTCTTCCTCGATCCGTGTAATGGAGAGGCAATGGACAGAATCGTTGTATCCAATTCTCCACAACCTTTTCCTCGCTCCTCTCATCAGGTGTGTCATCTGTGAAGATCTCGTTGGTTCCTATTTTCACCAATGGTGCAATATACTCCATAGTTTCCTCCTTTATGTTGATCATGTCTTCGTTATCAGGAAGAGTATCTGGTGAAATTAAAGATCTTCTGTCAGTAAGAAACTTATGCAGAAGTAGTAGCTGTTTTTTTTACCTTTTTCAGATCCCTTTGAGTCACTGGTAGGAGAGAACATCCGTGCTGGCGATGATGGGTCATGTTCAGATTCGGTAATCGCATCACTTACAAGGGCGTCATCGTCATTCGACCCTAGTCGCGTTATAACAATGAAATTCGAAATATCCGAGTGAGCGCTTTGAGATTCATTTGTGGAGGCTGATGGCACCTCGGGCAGTGTCTGTTCATTGTTCATCTCACAGAGTCTTTCACCGTGCGATTCAGCTAGAGTCAACATTTTTTGCTGCGATGAGAGGTCAGAATTCTCATATCACTCAATGCGAAGCTTCGCTCTTGGTTTTAATATTTCTCTACCATAACTTGTGTGACATGTCTTTTAGGCTATGTTATGCTACCTTATTATCATGACACTTTCACCATAAACCACGTAACACAACAAAGAGCAGTCCCTTGCTATGGCCAGGGCAGCCATTTTGTAACTGTTCCGCCATAGCTCGAGGGCTTACCTATATATTTTATCTTTTGATTATCTCTATTTTTAAATGATTCGCTCTTTTTCTCTCTCTCTCTCTCTCTCTCTCTCTCTCTCTCTCTCTCTCTTCTTCTTCTTCTTCTTCTTTCAACAAGGGAATAAGGGACGCACAAGCGTGTGTTTTTCATCCTTTCAATTGCGCAATCGTAATCAACAGGAATGATCCAGTCGATTACTTTTTAAAACAATCTGTATTTACTTATGAATTACAACAACGGTTCATCATTAAAGACTACAGTTTCATATACAGTTACCTGAAATTAAACTATACATATCTATTTAATAATGTCCATCAGTCCTCTACAATTAGACTTTGCATATATTCGTGGAGAGTGGCGTTATAGCCCAATCAAAAAATAATCTCTTTGAATCATCCAAAATTGGCCGTGCCACACATTTTTCCCACCTACACTAAAATAATCAGTTTTTACTACGTTTTTCCTTATGATCATGACCATGGTCAGACCCGTAGTGATCATGATGTCCATGACCATACCCATGGGCATAACCGTGACCGTAATCATGGCCAAAACCATGAGCATGCTCATGTCCGAAACCATGACCGTACCCGTGGCCGAAATCATGGCCATGGCCGTAGCCATGAGGATATCCATGACCGTATCCGTTATTAAATGGCGTTGGTGGATGATGCGGTGGATAAAAATGGCCTGGACCATAATGTGGTGCGTAATAATGGCCACCTATGCCGTGAGGACTGTAGAACGATTGCTGATTACCGTGAGAGAAGGGAGAGTGCACGGGAAACGGTACAGGCACTGGCACAGGATACGGTACTGCGTGTTTCACGGGTACTGGATATGGTTGTTGCACTGGTACTGCCACTGGATGCTTTACTGGAATCGGTATGGCATGTTCTACCGGATAAGGAACCGCCTGCAAGAACAAATTCGTATGTTAAAGTAATTTGATCTAAGATATCGTTATATGGACTACTCAATTGTATAGGGTGATACACGAGAAGGTAATTATTCAGGTGTGGGTTAGCTCGAGCAATGATCAAGCTCATTGACCTTATTGGAGGTTTGACTCCGCTTTGACTTGGATCAACTCGAATGCTATTGTCATTGGTCAATGACCTTAATGACTGCCCAATCACAATCATCATTGCACAAGCTCAGCAACAACTGACTCAGTAACTTCCTCTGAATTACCCCGTATATAGGGAAGCTTTAGATACCTGAGGAACTGGCACTGGCACAGGCACCGCCTTGTGAACGATCTTTTCGATCGGAACTGGAATTAATTTTGGCACTGGAATGTGGTACGGCTTTTCTATATAAACAGGTACGTTTTGCTTGACGTATACGGGTTCTGGTACAGGTACAGGTTTTTCCAGAACCACGTGTTTCGTTATGTATACCGGAAATGTATTAACTAGAGGTGCGTAGGGGTTGGAGTGTGCACCACCTGGTTTGAGAATAGGAAGTCTCTCCACTCCATAGTTCAATCTAGTTCAGGAATAAATCGTGAATGGTTATTTTATTGATATTAGGTTATTTGCTTGAATTTTCTTACCCGTTCCAACCACTGTGCAGATTTCCAGTGACTTTTATGCCTTTCCATGGGTCCTGATTTCCTGCCCACGGCTGTCCTTGTCCATAAGAGTACGGATTCGAAATTCCAACCCAGCCATCCTGGAGAATACCTCGTTTTCTCTGTTTCGTGTCTTCCGGTTCCTCCGCCCAGACGGAAGAGCACACGAGGACCAACAGTAACTGAAATTTACCCATTGGAATGATAAATCGGAGTCAACCGAAATGGACACTTTGTTAATTGTTTAAAATGAAAAAATGCCTGACGACAAATTCTTACCAAGACCTTCGACATTGCTCACTACTCACTAGCTGCGGACTGTTCGATCTCATGGCGGAATTGATGGCTTTTATATTTGTCCCAAGAGTGATCCAGAACGTGTTCCCATCTTTGACCGGATCAGGAACCGGGCCTTGCCCAGCGATCTTGTTTCCGGGGAGGAAAGTAAGAAAAATCCGAGGATCCAGTTTGTCAACTGATCGATGATCACGGCACTTTCGATGTAACGGCATCTCAAAGGGAAGGTCGGCTTGCTAATCAGATGCCCAGGAAGAACGTTCGGCAATATCCACTTTACGACCTGGAAGGCCCTCAATCTAATCAATCCCAAAGATATTCGCAAGCCGCTTAAATTGAAAGCACCTCGCGATCCTCGGCCCGTAACCATAAAATCGAATTTCCATAACGCGCCCGACAATGTTTGACATGTCCCAAAGCATCAGGTACGTCCCGCTGACCCACTTCCGCCTTTATTATTCGTACCTCATCGCATTCTGCTCGCTTCCGGTGAAATTGATAGTATCGCTCCAAATTTGAACGAAGGTCACTTATCTAATGAATAAAGTCTACGTCAAATGCACTGCCGGGCTGAGTCGAGCGAAAAAATCGTTGAAAAAAAAAAATAAGATCCCAAGGACCCACTCGTTACGTCACCAATATGGAGGACATTTCCTGCATCAATTCCGTCGTTCGGTCGAGCGGCAGGAAGTGCACACAGAAGACTTTCTTGACTTTCGTTTTCTAACGCGAGCCACTTCTAATGCCGTCAAGGTGTTCGGTGTTCATTATTCATCGACGTGCCGCGCTGCGCCTGGATAATCTGGCCCAGACGACGCATAACTTCTTCATAATGACTATAACAGTGTGACCGTATAACTCTAGAGATATCGGAGCTATCGATCGAGTTCACACTGTAGTTTCCAGGCGATGTCCAAGAATATCCGACTATTTCTAGGAAAAGTATGACTCCCATTGGAGATCATTAAACGTTGCCTGTCGTCGGTCAAGAAGAACAGTGGAAATCTGAAGTTTTCCGAAAAAGGATGAAAGGGTGCAGCCAATTTATCGTTACAGGAAAGAAAGGCCGTTTTTGGCCAACGCCCAGGATTAGAAATAGCGAAAGTCTATTGAGTTGTCGATCGCTTCTTCCTATGGTGATGCGAAGCCATTGTCCTATAAATACATATGGAGGTCACAACTGCCGATTAAACTCAGTTTTTCTTTGGCCTTGGTGGTAGCAGGAACCAAACTGCAGCAATGAAGTGTCTTCTGGTAGTCATCTTTCTTGTGCTTTAATTATCCTGTGAAATCTGTGCTCTCGCTTGATGAATAATATCAACGTCAAGTAATGTTATGTTTACTGCGACCAGGTTTCAGTTCTGCTCGTGGGAGTCGCGACTGCAGCGGAGAAGCGGAACGGAAATGACCCGCAGAATAAGAAACACGATAAACGTGGACTATTGGATTTAAGCTACGGTTTGCCCCAGCACGGAGCTCCGTCTCATGTCTACGGTCCCCCAGCACCGGAGCCAGCTCCTATTTATGAGGGTCCTGCCCCAGTTCAACATCCGGAACCTCCAGGTCATCTGCACTTCGAACCGGCACCAGCACCAATCGTTGCTCATCCAGTCGGTACGTTTATTGTAAAAACCTGTAAACCAGATTGAAATCCTTAAGATGGTAAGAAGGTAATAATTGAATTTCAGGTCCTGCGTTACCAGTACCTCATCCAGTTCCGCATCCGGTTCCAGTAGCTGTGCCTCAACCACATCCGGTACCAGTAGCATATCCGGTGATTCACACAGTAACCAAACACATTGGGGTACCTGTACCTGTACAGATAGATAGACCAGTTGCGGTTCCGGTGGCGGTGCCAGTACCTAAACCATATCCGGTTCACGTAGAAAAGATTGTTCACGTAGACAGACCAATCGCGGTACCGGTTGAGAAACCAATTCACGTGCCAGTTCACATTGATCGTCCTATTGCTGTACCAATCGCTGTACCAAAGCCATATCCTGTCACAGTTGAGAAATTCGTACACGTCGATCGTCCTTACCCTGTACACGTGGCCGTTCCTGTGCACATTCCCAAACCATATCCTGTACCAGTTGCCATTCACGCTAGCCATTATAAACCAGTTCACGGATGGTAAATCGATTAACGAATCTAATTCTAAGACACAACGAATATAGGGTCTGACTATGGGAATTCCTTATGACGCACAAGACTGCTTTGGAATTTTTTGAAAAATTAAAAGAAGTCTATCCTACTCGATAAATTCAATAAATTCAATAAGCATCTTCCAGCTCTAAGAGATGATTTCTCAGAAGCTTTTTATAACCCACGTTGATTCGTGTATTTCTAGCTTAATATTTATAAAGCTCAATTAATAATGGACTCTTGTATACTACTTGTGCATACGTAGCAGTCCTTCATAAGAGTTCACAGAAAGACTTGTATCGCGAAATGATCACGGATGACGTTAACATAATTTTACATCATGTCAATCAGACCTAATATCACCCTCTATATCATGAATATATTACAAATCAAATAAAGTGTACACTTTTTTTTTATAATAAATTCCTGTTAAATGAAATAACTGATGTATCAATCTTATAAAATTTAGCAACCGTCTAATTTTTGTGCCTCGTTAACATTGATATTGCCAGTAAATATGATATACATAGAAAATGTCTTAAAGGTCGACCAGTTGCCAAGTCCCACGTTTAGTGTGGAGTTTATTACCTTCAACCGGAGTACGTGGCCAAGAAGAAGACACGAAGACACGAAGACACGAAGACACAGTGTTCCAAGTGGACGTGCGAATAACGTGGACGTAGTCTGCGTATAAGATCATTAGGAGAATCTTTAAAAATATACCTATTAGTATGAACTATGGGTTCAAAGTTCAAAGTAAATCATTTGTTCCTTTATGATGGTTCATACCGGTATGCAAAAGGAAGACGCATCGTGGGAATGCTTTTACCAAGGGCGCTCGATAGCAGGTGTTAGACTTGACACCACGAACAGAAACTGCACGATCTATAAGAGCCTAAAGGTTTCCTCACACTTGAGTGTCCATTACGGTTTCTCACCCAGATTGCGAGTCGGGCGATTCTATGCGACAAACCGCACTGGCGACATCACTAGGTTGTCGTTCAAGTAAGAAACAGAGGTATCATCTCGTTCAGTGAATTAAGATATCCCACTATTATAAAGAGACTGCATTGTGTAATCACTCGAATTATACATCGTCATGGAGTGACTTTTTTAGTATTTGCAACTGCGCAGCTGCAATCGCAACTCTGAGAATCGCACAGGTAGCGTCCATCGTCGTCTCGACGCCGTCCGGCAGTTCTTGGCCGGTCACTCCTGGAGAACGTCCATTGTCTAAATCACACAGAGATATTACGGATTTTTATACTTTAATTCATTATATTTTAACTATTTTGGCAAGTATTCACTCACATGCTTCGGTTTTGACATCTCTTCTTGTCAGTCTTAATCTTTTTATTTTCTTTTTCTTTCCTACGTGACAAATAATTTAACGGGCTCCATTTAAATATTAATCAGGAAATATTATCTCGACTCGTCAGCATGTCCTGATTCTATGTGGAATCGATTTTCAACATTGTATTGTTATCCTTTTAGTCTTTTTTTTTCCTTCAATCCTCTCGCAGTCTAAGAATCGACGATGCAGCTCTCGACGAAACTGGGAATAGGCGGTGGCGCTCTCTTTGTCATGAGTATCGTCGTCGGCTGGATTGCTTTTCCGATTATGCTTAAGTCACAAGTCAAAGGGGTAAGTTAAGTAAGTTGACTAACAGTAAGACGATTATAAATGATGTGCTTAACGAACCGTTTAACTCTCCGGTTAATTACTGTGGACTGAGAAGTCACTCGTAGTTAAATTCAATTGATGGCCAATTAAAAAAAAAATAATGAAAACCCAGTAAAATGAAATTTAAATACTATTTTGCATAATTGTCTGATATACCCTATTCATATTAATTAGCGTACGTAGCAATAGAATATAGAATGTTAAAAAGTAGTGTTGCATTGTTCATAGTCTCCTGAATTCCCGTGACAATTCCCAAAGTGCACACGTTGATACGTATGAATTATTATACGCACGATACCCCTACACAATATAATTGCATAGTTATACGAGCGTGTATAGACAGTTCAATGTCGTATACATATGTAATTATCCGTATGGTAATAGCAAGAAGTGTCCGATCACGCCATGTTTGCCATACGAATATTTAGAGTCGCAGAAAACGATTACTTAAAGCCGAAAGAAACTTTTTATCACTTTTCAAATTTTCTTGGTCCTTACTCTCCTGCCCCTACCCAATATCTAGAATCGCCGAAACAAAGTTCAAAGTCAAAACTTGTTGAACGAGGGAGCGACTCGATGATCATTGCGGGAGTTCCCAAGACGATAAATAAACGTATTCAATAAATTATTGTTTGATTAGGCAATAGCCTTGAAGGAAGGCTCTGATATGCGAGCATTGTGGGCAAAGTTTCCACTGCCACTCGATTTTAAAGTCTACCTCTTTAATATAACAAATCCTGCCGGGATCGAGAGCGGCGAGAAGCCTATTGTGAGAGAAATTGGTCCGTACTTTTACGAGTGAGTCGCTGCAACTTTAAGTTTTGAGGTTATACAGTTCGAGCTATTGCGCCGTTTCATTTATTAATTGGGCATTCTTACTTAGCGAGTATAAGGAGAAGCTTAATTTAGAGGATCGAGAATCAGACGATACTGTCGAGTACAGTCAGAGAGCTACCTGGTTTTTCAATCCGTCCAAGAGTAATGGTCTGACCGGCGATGAGGAACTGGTCTATCCTCACGTCCTGATACTGGGAATGGCCATGACTGCTGCCAGAGACAAGCCAGGAATGATGGGTCTGCTTGGTAGGATACAGCTCAAGTATTTTATCGCCTCATTTACGTACTTTTAGGAGGGCTGATTAGGAATGACTTTTAATTGCACCAGGGAAGGCTGTGGACAGCATTTTCAAGAAGCCGGATTCAATATTTATAAAGGTTAAGGCAAGAGATATACTTTTTGACGGTTTACCAATTGATTGTACGGTAAAGGACTTTGCCGGTACTGCAGTCTGTAAATTATTAAAGGAGCAAGGAAACGACTTACAAGTCGATGGTGATAATCGCTATAGATTCTCTCTCTTCGGTCACGTGAGTATGACGAAATAAAGATATATAATTAATTGAACAATTGAAATGTAAATAAATTTTAGAAAAATGGTACCGTGGCCCGGGAGAGGATGAGAGTGTTTCGAGGTATTAAAAGTGCAATGGACGTTGGTCGTGTCGTGGAATGGAACAACGAGCCGGCTCTTACGGTTTGGCCAGAGGATCGTTGCAACGAGTACAATGGTACAGATTCCACCATATTCCATCCGTTTTTTAAAAAGGAAGACGACGTGGTCTCCTTTGCTCCGGATTTATGTCGCAGCATCGGTGCTAGATACGAGAGACCTAGCCATTATAAAGGTAGGTTCGTTATTCAGAGTTAGTAAGTTCTGATAATCATGTATGAATATTCATAAATTCGCCATAGGTCTATCTACCAATCGTTACACCGCTAACCTCGGCGACATGAGCACAGATCCTCATTTGCAGTGCTTCTGTCCGACTCCCGAAACGTGCCTCAAGAAAGGACTTTTTGATCTAACAAAGTGCGTTAATGCACCAATCATTGCCAGTCTACCTCATTTTTATCTGACTGATGAATCCTACCTGGAAACTGTTCAGGGACTCCAGCCTGTGCAGGTGAAACTGACGTTGCCTCATTTTGTTTATTGTCATTGTTAAAGAAACGCTAAAGTACGTATGTACACGATTACTCTTCAGGAGGATCATGAAATATTCATAGACTTTGAGCCATTGACTGGGTCGCCAGTGTCGGCGAGAAAACGTTTACAGTTCAACATGTTTGTCTATCCTGTGGAGAAATTCAGATTGATGAAAACATTTGCGTCGGCGCTGTTACCATTGTTTTGGGTGGAGGAAGGGATTGCACTGAATGATGATTTTGTCAAGCAGTTGAAGGCTGCTTTCAAAATGATATCACTCGTTGGGTAATTATAGAATTTGGCCGGATGAGAGAGTTTTTAATCGTTAGAATCGTAATTGGCTATGCTTCTGTTTAAAGATATATCAAATGGTCCATGATGTCCCTGGGTCTTGGTCTTGCTGGTGCCGCTGGTGGTCTTTATTTTAAGCGTCGACAGACTGACAATAAGTTGACAATTAATACCATAACGCCGCAGATGGCAAGTACGAAGAACAGTGGTGAGGAAAAGAAATGGCCGCTTAATATAAATACCCTACAGGCCGCGACTGTACCAGCCAGTCTTGACAGAAACTAGATTTCTAAGACTAGTAAGTCTAGCCTAATTAAAGTTCTAATACGTTCTAAGGCTCTAGAGTATTTTTTACCGTGGACTCAGGTTGTACATAGGCGTAGGAAAGGAGGTAAGAGAACAAACAACTTTCACTGGTAACCATATATACATATAACGGATAAGATTTAAATTAAAATCGTTGTTGAGCTATTTTCTTTGAGTCACCCTACAGAGGAAGCTTGTTACGGTCATTATTAGTGATAAATATATTATATTTGTATCTGTTTATGTCTCTCTGTGCTATTATTATACATATATTAAGTTTATGGCGATACTACAGTAACGGTAATCAATAAAAATGTCTATATTCCGGTATTCTTCGATTAAAGGTATCGTGTTGCTTTATTTGATTTCGCACTTCGATTATAGGACTATTTACATCGTTTTTATTTCCCTCCAAGTCCTCGAGACATCCGAGAACCTTTTTACGCACACACTCGTAACACGGAAAAACGGCGTCCAATTATATAACACATAGGAATATAATTTAGCGTATTACACTGACATTTGTAAGCATCGAAGATCGACTTGAGACTTCCTGGACTCTGCTTCTAGCTAGTATTAACGACTAGCGTACTTCCAAAATATATACAGCATTACTTCCTATACTTAGAGTTAAAAATAAATAAAATGACTGCAAGAGGGTTACAGAGAGCATGCGCTCTTTTTTTCATTTGCATTGGGAGGTTACGCCGATTCTGTCAATTTTACACGTAGGAGAATAAAAAAACTCGTAATAAAAAAATAACCAAGTACTGTAAAAAAAAGTGTAACTTTCAAGTAATAACGCCTCTCCATATGTATATACACATGATACACGCGCACGAATCACAAGCCTTATAATATTCAGTCTTGTAGAAAATGACCTAATCTTTGTCGGGACCACCATTTTCTAATGTTCTCATTGAAGGTCCTAGTAAACGATTCATCAATGTACAGACCGAGAGCAGTATTTCACTTATTAATCACTGTTCTTCTTCTTCTCCACGTGCGCCGCCTGACTATGTCTCGACGTCGTCGCGATCGAGTCGCTCCTGCACAAGAGGACGTTCTTGTAGGCACTCCTGTACTCTGAGCTCATCACTACGTAGATCACAGGATTGATGCAGGTAGTGAGGTAGATGAGAATGTATCCAGCGATGTTGAGACCTCGCCAATCGATTACGTCCCTGAAGGTCTTCGTGATGGTGATCGGCAGATAGCATATAAGAAACGATGAGAATATCACCAAGATCATTTTCAAGAGTTTCTTATCCTTGGCAGTCATTTTTCCTGTTTCGAAGGTGCGAGCACGCATGCTACGGAACCTGGACTCCCTGTTAAAGACATTGGACTTGCGACCCGGTCGTCTTTCCGAGGGCGATTCCGACCTGGAGGACGTATAATCCTCAGATATCTCATCATACCTGATAGTCTGAGGACTCAGTAGGTTCTCGGATGAATATTCTAGGTCGTTTAGGTACTTTCTAGGTAGCTGATGACCGTCCTCCAAGATGGTACTCTTGTTTTGCACTTCGAGACTCTCCAGATTGAGAATCTGCTGGCTCCGAGGACTGGATGCATCTTCCAGGCGTATTTCCGGTCCAGCCAACTGAGTCTTTGATCGCTCGAAAGACGAGTCGAGCTCGCTACTAGTTTGTACACTCGTATCGATGAACGGTATGTCCTCGCCGTTGCTGTCCAGGTTCGACTTGGCCGTGTCGTAGGATTCCTCGCCGGTTTCGACGTTCTCTGAATTATCAATGCTAGCGTTCAGGGCCAACGAAGGAGATGGACCTTTCTCATTGTCAATAATGAAGTTCTCGAAGTTACCAGAATTCTTCTTAACCCCGCCGAAAGTGACAGATTGGTTTTTAGCAGCGTGTCTCTGCTCCCGTGTTGTAGAATTCTTGCGGATACCATTCCCGTCATTTTCTCTTGCCTGCTTCTCCGGATTCTCGACTGGAATCGAGTTACCGTCTACAGCAGGGTCGTTCGAATATCGATTTCTGGCTTGCTGGCCATTCCTCATCGGTTTCCTGAAGCTGTTCTCCCTGCTTCCGGAAGCAGCCTCGTCTTCTCTCTCTTCGGAATTCTCATCGTAAAACTTTACGTTTTGACTGCGCGACTGCTGATGCCCTTCGCCTTTGGATGAGCTTCTCTTCAAGTTACTGCCATCTACAGTATTACCATTTTCATTTTGATCATGTTCGCCACTGTCCTTTACAGTATTCTGACCGTAATGTAGTTCGTTCAATTTAGATGTCTGCCGGCCGTACTCAAAGTTCGACGTGTTCCTGCATCCCTGATGATAACTTGGACTGAACCTAGGGGAATTTGAACCGAGAAAATTCACTTTCTCCGTCCTGGTTGGGGAACTTCCGTTCTCCGTAGTAGTCAAAGTGGCACCACAGCTAGATCCTATAGCCGAATCTTCAAAATTCTTAGTATACCTGACCTGTAGCATAAAAACAAATAATCAGACACATCAAGAAGAATAATTTGATCCTACAGTAGCAGTCGATCGATCATCAAAACTAACCTCCAAATTAGCTTTAATAAGATCAGTAGTGATCTTGTTCCTTCTACTCTTCATGGCTGTTCTCCGTACGATGTAGAAGATCCTCGCGTAGCAGACGACAATGGCGATGCAAGGCGTGAGAAAGGCGACGATAAACAGGAACTCCTTGGGACTGCGTCCATTGACGTCAGGCAGGATGGAGCAGGAGCCAATGGAAGGATCCAGTCCGAATCTGCCCCACTGGCCGAACCAGGTAGCGACCAGTGCACCGAATCCCAAGGTCCACGTAGCCAGAACCATCAAGGCCAGGTACTTGGGTTTATACAGTCTGCAAAGTGTCGTTAAGCTCTAGCCAAGGGAGTGTCCAGGCACACGAAGCGACCCAAGGGTTAGTGGCTCATCTAAGAAATGCTTACTTGGGATAAAGTCGGGGATGGCCAATCATGACGTATCTGTTAATGGTGATGGCTAGTACCGTGAAGAGACTGACGGCGACGAGTCCGTACCTCAGCAATGGGAAGAGTCGGCACAGTAATGGTCCATGAAGCCAAGAGCCGTGCCAAAAGGTGGACGTAGCCAGCGGCAGATTGAAGCAGCAGAACATCAAATCCGACACGGATAGATTCATGATGAAGACGGCGGTAGCGTTGCGTAACTGAAACAACAGAATATCGAGCGCTTCAGCAACGAGTCTGTCGTCATTCGGTTCCTTCGGAATTCATAGAAATATATAAACTTTAAAGTAAACTCCAGAGAGACTCTACGAGGAATTCACTTGTCCCCGTGACCCCCTTTAGTAAATTCTTAGGGGCTTCTACAGTAGCAGCCACTGGCGCGGAGCTTTAAGAAAGTTTTAGTGGTTGGCCCTTCCCCCCTGTTGGGCAGCTTCCTTTTGGATCCTCCCATTGAAGTTCCAACCAGTCTCTCTCGCACCCTAAGACAACCTATACCAGGAATTTCATCGCATCGATCACCAGCTACAAGGGTGGCTGAGGTTTCCAGGCTCGGTGAGGTTCGCGACGTGCTACCCCCGATTGCTCGACTGGCTAGCCGCTTTTGTTTCGCTGCGAAACAGCCCGGAAGGAATTCAGGCTGGTTTATGCTTCCTCTACGTGTCCCGGTTCCAGGGACTGAACTACTAAACCACCTCGGGTTTCAGCCGTGAACCTATTGTTTCTCCAGTTCCTGTATCTCCCATTATAAATGCACGTACAACGTGGCTCGAGCCGCGTGACCTACGAAACTTGGGCAACGCTCGTTACAGCCGGCGACTGATTAAGGACTTGCCGAAAGGGTCGAGGATATTTTCTTGAAGAATTACGCGAAAGTCGTTCAAGTAAATCTTGATCGAGCCTTCATCGTTCGTTGCCAATACAAGCAGCAAGTGCGGCCTGTACGCGGGAACAACTGTTTCTTCCGCAAGGCCACCCCAGGACGGGTTTGGTGCTTCCCTCCAGTTACAGCCAAGCTAGCCCTCCTGCGTGCTCCCCTTGTGAAATCCCGATAAAAAGCCTCATGTATAACATAAGTGAAAACGTGGCAGGCGTAAACGTTGGGATTATTGGCCTTATAAAAATAGCCTCCATGTAGCTGACACTCTGGACCGTTTCGAGGATTTTTATTGCGAGACGCGTTGGCCGCTGCTATCTGCGCAGCAGTCGGGCAAAGAGAAAATGAAGGAAGAAGCCGAAGCGAAGAAGGCATACGAGGATGAAGGAAATTAGATTTTGAGAATAGGAGATAAAGATGGAGTCAGTCTGTGTTGCAGTAAACTTACACATTATATATATATACATATAGCTTAAGCTGACGGATATACCTATATATCGTAAGACGTATAATACTCCAAGTGAACTGTATCCTTTACGACAGACGTTACGTTCGCGTTACGATCCGCATCCGTGTACCGTGTCGAGCATTATTCTGATAGCTCGACCGATAATTATTATTGCAGTCTTTTCCCGGTATCACTTAGCGATACGGAAGAACGTGCGTGAGACTGATCGGGGATCGGATGGTGTCCTAGCACCTGGTTTTAATTGCCAGGACGTTCAGGGCTGAAATACGATAATGAAACAGTCGGACTTACACCTAGCAAAAGGGTGAAACGTACGACTGGCTACTTTGGCAGGTGGGCATGGTCAGCAGTTAAGTTGTCTAGCGCGACTTGTCGTCACTGTCGGCTCGTCTTATAAATGCCTTTAAAAATTTCCGTTCATTTCTTTTCATTCATTAAAACGAATTGACGGAGACTCCTTTGTCTATACGGATGAGCTTCGGAAAGTCGAGTAAATTGAACGCAGAGCGAAATAAGAAATGAGGGCTGAGCTCGTGATTTACGTTGCCGCGGAGATTCCAAAGGGAGGAAAAGCAGTCGAGAGCTAGTACAAAGTTATGAGATTAAAACATGAGAGAAGGAGAGTGATGCTCCTTGGTTAGTGCAAGAGTGTCTTTTCTCTTTCGACTGAAATCTTATTTTTCTTTTTTTAAAAGAATAAAAAAGACAAAGTGAAACTCGAAGGGTCTGGAGTGCTTCGCAGGAATTCACAGGCATGTCGGTCAAAGTTCTAGAGACTAGACAAGGGTTGTCCGCACAGTCACCCTCGTAATCTCCTAATTCTCTTGTTAAAAGTGATTAATGGTCGAAATTTGCGAAGCCCTTTAATTCGAGCGTGACCCTAAAGTCCAGTTCCCATGGCCGTTCCGTACAATGCGGAGCAGATATCCGGCCGGTCGGGTTCTAATTTATTTTCATGAAAATTAAAGGCGCCTCGATCGCACGCGATTAACGCGGACACGCGGACACGTGGTTGCGAAATTGGGGATATTTAAGGACTCTACGAATTTTGAAGAAGAAAGGGAAGGATTTAATATTCCTCGAGTAAAATTCCAAAGTGTCGTGACAGTCCATGAAAATGGGATGAAAAGATTAAGTGATTCTCACGGAGGGAAGACCAATCGCCGAGTCCCTCCTGAATCATAAATCGCTACAGTTACCCCTGCTGCTCCCTTCGAGTTCTTCCGACTTTCGCCGACTCGAATTAATTCAATATTCAAATTATTTTTCGAAATTATATAAGGCCTCGATCGACAAAGATAACGTAAAGTACAAAATTTACGTATCTCCCTGTGGCTAATTCGACATTCAAATTATTTCCGCGCCGAAGGCGCTTGGAAATTCGAAATTCGAAAATGGGGAAAGTGATTGTTGCTTTAAGAAATTCATTAAGTATGTATATACATAGTTACTCCTATATTGCGAATAGAGTGGTAAACGGATGAAATTTACCAGTCAGATTAGGCTGTTGTCGAATTACTCGACTTTCTAGCACGTTCATTCCCATAAAGGATAGTCACTCGTGATTTCGAGCTGTTGATAGGTATGTCCTTGTCGTACGCACGTATCTGAGCATACGTCCGTCTCTGTCGCACTCACGGGAAGTATAGTAAAATAAAAAATTGTAAGGCCAAGACCTTCTCTGACCGACCAATCGAATAAACGATTTATCCAAATGACCAGTGGCTAACTTTAAGCGCTTCTAGCCTATAGAATTCTATAAAATGGTCGTTAACAGAAGAACATCAACACGAAATACGTATAGCACCGAGATATTTGGCATTTTGAAAAATTCTCCGAATGGCATGAAAATTCGCGAAACCGCAAAAATCTGTCTCGAAGCAATAAAAAAAGGTCTGTAAAAGGATAAAGCAGTGTCGCCAAAATAGTCGTAAAAGTTTGTATTCGAGTATCGAGATAGGATTTGATAAATTGCGGGACGCGCCTATATGTATGTATACCTCAAAATGAAAAGATCAGATCTGTTCTATAAGTGTAAGGATCCGAGATTTTTGAATGTATTTTTTAAAAGGGTATCATAAAGGGTCCAGCTAATATAATGGAGGCAAGGGAACGCCATTGAATTCCCTTCGATTCTCCATCCTCCGTTCTGTGCTTTCGTTTCAAATGGACGATTCACGAATGGCTGTTTCGCCTCGCGGAGTTAAATCTTTCTCGTAAAAGGAAAACTAGGAGTTGGACTCTCTAGATACGAAGTCACAGTGTCCCTCGATCCGTACCCGGCAGAGATATGCTTCGTGCCAGCAAATATATATATGTATAGAAGGAAGGAAAAACGGAAATAGATAAACAAATGTAATCGCTTGAATTACGTTAGGGTAGGTTAGGTGAGTTTCGATCGAATCCAACTAAGATGAATTATAATAAATTGAGGAGAGAGAGAGAGAGAGAGAGAGAGAGAGAGAGAGAGAGAGAGAGAGAGAGAGGTCGGCGAAAGGAGTGTCAAGGTAGGTATAGGTACATACATGGGCATGGGGTATCTTGAACATTATAGGTACGTAGGATACGTAGGATACGTAGGAGAAAGATCGACACGTTCCTTTGCCCTTAAAGCACAAAGGACCCAGGACACTTTAAGTGGGACCCAGGACTTCCGCCTCGAGTTCCTTTGGCATCCGTGACATTAACTATCGCGTTATTTACGCTAGATTTACCGGAGACCCGAACGTCTTAACCCCCTGACGCGGATTCAGGGACAACGTGGGGGAGCCAGGATAGCGCGGAGGAGCACGCGGTGCGTTCACGCTGAATATCCTTGACGGGCTTGGAAATTTCAAAGCGGGTACAAGGAACCTGAACGTAGCTGAACGAAGATGAACGGAGCGTCGGCAATCGGATGATGTTCGGGCAATACTTGTTCAAGAGTTCGCGATGAAAAGGACCTAACGAACCAGGATGAAGAGGATGAAGAGGATGAAGAGGACGAGCAGTACTCGCAGGATCCCACAGTTAAAAGAGGCAGCGAAGGTGGATTTACACGGTGCGATCAAAAAAGAAGAGAAGAAAGAGAAACAAAGAAAAGAAAAAAAAAACCTTAAGCCAGTCTCGCGCTCAATTTCGCGACAGAAGGATCTGGTGCCATATTGAACCGAAGGCATAATCCTTTTGGTTTAGGTTTCCACTCGTCAATGGGGAGCTTTTATCGTTTCTCTCCCTCGGCCGGTATTTTCCTATTTCTCGGATTATGTACTTGTCAACGTGACATAATATACGAGGCTGCCGGACCGTCCATCTGCCATAGGTATCCTGCTCGTATATAGGTTAGTCCTCTATAAATATAGATATAGCGCGGTGCATTAGTACATGGTAGACTTTATACATAAGCCTCGACATAACGCAACCCTCTGGGAATCTTAGATATCAGACGTGAACGACGATTTATGATCGAAGAGGAGAGAATTTTTATTAATAAATTTATTGTCTACGTATCCCCGTATAACGAGATCATTTTGATCCTGAGCCGTATCAGCATCCCGGACAGGATCTCGTCCCCGTAAGCTACTTGCGTGGAACGATGCATTCCTTCCTGATAAACAGCCGTGAAATGTCCTGCGGGAGTCACTGAAGTCTGGGCCTTTCTTTTTCCTTTCTTTTTCCTTTCTTTTTCCTTTCTTTTTCCTTCCTGCCCCTTCTTCCCCGCTTCCACGTCCATCCTTCAGGCTCGATCGAATCCCGGAGATAGCCGACTAAATAGATTAGAAGGCGCAAAAAACAGAGGCGAAATAAATGGTCCAGGCGATCCTGAGGGATACCGCTACGTCCCGCTGATGCTGTTGCTAGTACCGGCAACTACTACC